GGCAACTGCAATGGCTAAATAACACCCATATGGCAAGCAGCTTGGTCCGCCCAGTGTAAAGGAAAAGGTGTTGGCAGCGACTCTGTGACGGAGGCATTATTTATTATCCTCTCACCATAGGTGAGATCAATGTGCAGTTTGCAGGGATTTTTTTTAAAGCTTTTCCCCACTTTGTGTTAGCATGTCACTTTAAGGTGTGTTCCTCCCCCCCCCCCCACAGATTGGAAAAGTTTTGATATTTAATGCTAGTTGCCAGGAGATATGCAGCTTGATTTTGGAAGGTGCTGTGGAAGACAATGTAAACACTGAGTTTCATATATCAAGGATAGAGGGATTAATAGAAATTGTGTCTGATGAGCTTAGCTGTTTTGTAACAGGGAAATATGACATATGGAGCAAAGATAATCAAATTCTGGTAGTTACATTACATATTAACATATAATGAATACTCCCAGCCTAAAGTAGTCTACAGAAACAATTCCTACGTATTGTTGAATTATTCTATGTATACATGCATAATATGTCTATAAAACTCGATTTATGATTATGCTAATTTTATAGGTGTAGAAAGTGGTGAACTGAAAGCCGAGATATAAAGTTGAGTGGGTAGAGAAATCGGATGGACCTGGGAGTAGGTAGAGGACAGAGGAGAGAACGCCTTATGACATTCGAAATGAACTGACAAATAGGAGGGGAAAGAAATGGTCTCTGTGACTTCAATTTAGAATTGTTCTCCCTTTTCTATGTCCACAATCAATAGATTTCATCTCTTTATGTATCTCAAAGATCCCATGTATTCCATTTCTGTTTTGTTTTTTGTCTGTTTTGAGTTTAATGCAGCATTTGCTTTGGGATGTGAGTGACCCAGTTCATCTGTCTTATCCCCAAGCCTTTGTTCCTCTGTTTGCCACATGACCGGCTCTGTTGACAAGAGCTTGCACCATTTGACAACGTGGACTTTTTATTTCCAGATTCCTTTTAGTTTGGATTTCCTTCTGTTTGTCTACCTCTTTATTGAATTCTATTTTTTAAAATTAATTTATTTATTAAAAAATTCCACCTGCTCCCCTCCTCCCATTTCCCTCCCCCTCCCCCACTACCCCTTTCTCTCCATCTTCTGTCCTAAGAGAAGTCAGGGTTCCCTGCCCTGTGAGAAGTCCAAGGCCCTCCCCCTCCATCCAGGTCTAGGAAGGTGAGTATCCAAACAGACTAGGCTCCCAAAAAGCTAGTACATGCAGTGGAATCAAAACCCAGTGCCATTATCATTGGCTTCTCAGTCAGCCCTCATTGTCAGGACATTCAGAGAGTCCGGTTTGATCACATGCTTGTTCAGTCCCAGTTCAGCTGGCCTTGGTGAGCTCCCATTACATCAGTCACACCATCTCTGTGGGTAGATGCACCCCTCTCGGTCCTGACTTCCTTGCTCATGTTCTCCCTCCTTCTGCTCATCATCTGGACCTTGGGAGCTCAGTCCAGTGCTCTAATGTGGGTCTCTGTCTCTATCTCCTTCCATCACCAGATGAAGGCTCTATGGTGATATGCAAGATATTCATCAGTGTGGCTATGAGATAAGGCCAGTTCAGGCACCCTCTCCTTTGCTGCACAAGGACCTAGCTGGGGACATCTTTTTGGACACCTGGGAACCCCTCTAGAGCCAAGTCTCTTGCCAACCCTAAAATGGCTCCCTTAATTAAGATATATACTTCCCTGCTCCCATATTCACCCTATACCCTGAATTATCTTTCATATTTAATTGAGTTTTTTGTGGGTGTTTTGAACGTCTTTCAGTTTACTCTTGTCTTCTCTCAGTTCATTCAAACGATGCTTTTTCCTGTCCTTTTTTAAATTATTTGAACACTTTCAACAAGTTTAGAATTGCTCTTCTTAGTTTCATGTCTTGAACTTCATCTAAGTCATTTTTCTTAGGCACTGTCATTTTCAGACGGATGGGGTCATATTCTTTTTTTTTTTTGGTATTGCTTGTGGATTTGAAATGACACTTGTGCATCCAGGGTTAGGTTGCATTTTGTATCTTTTGCTATGTGTTTTCAACCTAAAAGATTGGAACTTTAAGGTAGGCATCAGATTGAGGGAAGCTGGAGGGAGCAGTGGTGAGGCAGAGAGGGTAGAGCAACACTATTCTGTGTATGCCAGGCCTAGCCGTGTGCCACAGGTCAGCAAAAGAAGGATGGCAGGATAGAAGAGTAGCCAGAAGACAGTCAGCAGGGACAACTACTTTGCTGGGTTCACACTGAGCTGTGTGTACTGTTGGTCAACTATACAGGGTACCACAGGTAAAGGAAGATTGGGCAGTGTTTCGAGGTAGAGGGCTGCCTGTTTCTAGGCTAGGCTAGGTGCATGTCCTGGGCTGGCTTGTGAAGCCTTCTCAAATACACAGGAGTCAGGGACAGTGGGAAGTGGATCATGCTGTGCTGTTCAGGCTGCCTGTGTATGGTAGGCTGGAGAGAGCTCTGTTGAAGCAGTCCCAGGAGAGGTTGGCTGACTGCTTGGCTCTGAGCTGGTCCACCGAGTACAACTGCATGTGCACAGCAACATTTTAAAACATTTTATTATGTTGTGTTGTCATTTAGATTTTTAAATTATTTAAGACAGCAATTTCAAGCTGAATTATGCTATGATGTGTGTGTTATAGGACATGAAAGAGATCATGAATTTATTTGCTGCAAACAGCCTGTCATAGTCCATATGAACATATAGTAAATCTAAAAGAATATTCCATATATGTAATAAGGAAAGGAAAATCTTATACGGGCTGATATCAGTACTGTATATACAGACAAATAAAAGTGTTTAATTTTTATTAAATTTATGTATTTTACACTTAAGTGAAATAAACAACTACTGGATAAGACCCAAAGACTAAAGGATTTTACCTAAAACTAGTAAAAAGGAAAGTGGAACTTTTAGAGTAAACTGTCTTTTGACATAAATTCAGACACTTTGAATAACTTCTATTCAAATCTATATGAACAAGGGAATCATTCCTGCATGGAGAAACATCAATGTCATTTGACTAATCTCTCAGACACATAGAAACAGCCATGACCTTATATGAAACAGCCAGAACCCATGGGTCTTGTTTCCACTATTCTTCACCAGCATAGAAGGATCCACCTTGAAATGCTGGGCGAATTCTCTCTTCATTCTTCTTTAGAAAGCTCAACGTGGCAGGGCTGAAATCAATATTCACACATGGCATGTGAGATCAAATCAATTCAAGCTTCTCCTTTTGTGGTATTTGCAATGCTAAAGGGTAATTTATCAAACTTCATAGTTTCTTGGAACTTATAAATTTCAAATTAAAATTTTAGCCTCTGTATTAAATAAATACATGTTTGAATACCAGTTGAGCTCTCATTTTGGTGATTCATTGACATCAAGGGGACCAAGTACCCTCAGATTACTGTGGGATTGTATTTTGAGGTGTGCGTGTGTGTGTGTGTGTGTGTGTGTGTGAGAGAGAGAGAGAGAGAGAGAGAGAGAGAGACAGAGAGAGAGAGAGAGAGAAAGAGAGATTTTCGATGGAGAATGCATTTAACTTTCTTTGTGTTTTCAAAGACATCTGTGAACAACACCACCAATAAAAAGTTGAGAATAACTCCACCGAGAAACCCCAACTTTCCACATAATTTTTTTCAACAGAAGAAGCCTAGGACAACTGGCTAACATTTAAATGTGTGTCACAAGCACAACCGTTTTCAAGGCATTTTTAGACACTATTCAACTATTTCCAGATGGGCAGATATATAAGGAACTTTTATTGTGATGTGTAATTTTCAATGTAGGGAGTAAGGGCTGGCCACTGAAATGTCATATTTATTTTGTAGGTATTAGGTAGGAAACCATCTAGGCACTTGATACATAGGAACTCACAGGGATCTCAGGCAAAATTAGGACTTTCGTTTGTGGACTGAAAAGGAAACAGGAAATTTAAAACAGTTAATGAAGGTAAGGCAGGTGATTAGCAGCAGACCTGAGGGGCTCACCAGTAACCATATGCTAATATCGCTGATAAATCATCACATTTATTCCTATATCTGAAATAAATCTTAGCATTTTGCAGGAAAAGGGAGTGTTGTGTATGGGAGCTATTAAATGTGAGAACAGGAAGTTTGTTAATCAGTTGTTTTATAGAACAATTTACTGCTTACAGCAAAATAGAAGCTCAGTAAACAGTTATTAAATGAATGCATAAAGTCAAGCTACTCTTTAGTGACAATATCTGAAAAGGATTCGTGAAACTAAAATCTGCTCACCCTAACTTTCTGAGAAATCACCATACTGATTTCCAAAGTAGCTGTACCAGTTTGCACTCCCACCAGCAATGGAGGAGTATTCCCTTTACCCCACATTCTATCCAGCATAAGTTGTCTGTCATCAGTTATTTTGATCTTGGCCATTCTGATGGGTGTAAAATGAAATCTCAGAGTTGTTTTGATTTGCATTTCTCTGATGGCTAAGGATATTGAGCATTTCCTTAAGTGTCTTTCAGCCCTTTGAGATTCATTTGTTGAGAGTTCTCTATTTAGGTCTGTACACCATATTTTTACCGGATTATTTGTTCTTTTTATGTCAAGTTTCTTGAGTTCTTTGTATATTTTGGACATCAGTCCTGTGTCTGAAGATCTTTTACAATTCTGTAGGCTGTAGTTTTGTCTTGTTGCATGTGTACTTTGCTTTATAGACGTTTCTCAATTTCAGGAGTTCCCATTTATTAATTGTTGATCTCAGTGTCTCTGATACTGGGGCTATATTTAGGAAGTGGTCTCCTATGCCCATGTGTTCAAGTGTATTTTCCACTTTCTCTTCTATAAGGTTCAGTATGGTTGGTTTTATGTTGAGGTCTTTGATCCATCTGGACTTGAGTTTTGTGCATGGCAATACATATAGATCTATTTGCAATTTTCTACATGTTGATATCAATGTATACTAGTGCCATGTGTTTAATATGTTTTCTTTTTTCTGTTCTATACTTTTAGCGTCTACCTCAAAGCCCAGAAATACTGCTGTTGTGTATATACTGAAAGGATGCTCAATCATACCACAAGGACATGTGCTCAACTATGTTCATAGAAGCACTATTTATAATAGCCAGAGCCTGAAAACGACCTACATATCCCTCAACCAAGAATTGGATAAAGAAAATGTGGTACATTTACATAATGAAGTACTAAACAGCAGTAAAAAGTAATGACATCTTGGAATTTGCATGCAAATGGATGGATTTAGAAAAAAAGACATATATTTAGTGAGGTAACCCAGACCCAGGAAGACAGATATAATATGTACTCACTCATAAGTGGCAAGAAAAAAAAAACAACCTACAGTCCACAGTCCCAAACAACCTAACCAACAAAGTGGAACCTAAGAGACACATACATGGATCTACATAGGAAGGAGAAAAAGACAAGGTTTCCTGAGTAAATTCAGAGTATGGGCATCACATGAGAGGATAGAAGGGAAGGGGAGGGAGCGAGGAGAGAAGAGAAAATGTATAGTTCAATAAAAATAATTTAAAAGGGGGGAAAATAAAATCTGCTCACCTGGTTAATGGAAAATGGTAAAAAAAAACTAATGCACTTCATGAATATGTGTTTTTTCTACCACAGTTGAAATTTAAGCTGTTTCGAGATGGAGACAGAGACCCACACTAGAGCACCGGACTGAGCTCCCAATGTCCCAAGGAGGAGCAGAAGGAGGGAAAATATGAGCAAAGAAGTCAGGACCACGAGGGGTGCACCCACCCACGGAGACAGTGGGGCTGATCTATTGTGAGCTCACCAAGGCCAGCTGGACTGCGACTGAAAAAGCATGGGATAAAACCGGACTCTCTGAATATGGCGGACAATGAGGGCTGCTGAGAAGCCAAGGACAATGCCACTGGGTTTTGATCCTACTTCATGTTCTGGCTTTGTGGGAGCCTAGCCAGTTTGGATGTCCACCTTCCTAGACCAGGATGGAGCGGGGAGGACTTTGGACTTTCTACAGGGCAGGGAACCCTGACTGCTCTTTGGACTGGAGAGGGAGGGGGAGAGGAGTGGGGGGAGGGGGAGAGGAGAGGGAGGAGGGGGGAAAAGGGGGACGGGGAGGGAAATGGGAGGCGGGGAGGAGGCAGAAAATTTTTTTTCAATAAAAAATTATATTTAAAAAAAAAAGAAAGAAATTTAAGCTGTTTCCAGAATCTGTATGCATCCCTGAATGAATGCTGAAACTCTAAAGCTGGTGAGTCCTTTTCCTATGCCCTATGGTTTAGGATAGAGATTATTGTAACAATAACATCTTCAGGAAAGTTAGTGCTAGCTTCAAAAATATTCATTCTTTCTTTATCAGGAATTTGATGTTTAATATGATATAGATTGGTCCTGGAATTTGCGAACTTCTTACTATCCATTTCGAACCTAAAAAGACCATTTAGTTTTCTATATCTTGTTTTGTTAGGTTCATCTTCCCTGCACTTTCCAGAATCTACAGTGGAACATGCCCCATTCCAAATTTTTTCAGGACTGGCTTCATTGAACTGTTAACTCTTGGACTAATCACATAGCGTCTAGTGTTTTGTTGTTGCTGTTTTGTTTATTAATATTTATGTTCTGGCTCTGATTCCTGTCTTAAAATGTATGTGTGCATTTGTGTGTGTGTTTGTGTGTATGTGTGTGTGTGTGTGTGTGTGTGTGGTGTGCTGATTACAGCAGAGCCTTGCTTGTGTTAGGCAAATGCTCTATCACTGATCTGTATCCCTTTCTTGTTCATTAAAATCAATACACTCTCATTCTGTACTGTGGGCCATAAATTTGGTTGCCAGGCTTGCTTCTTTTTTTCTCCTGTTGCAGAATAATGTAAACCTTTTGTATTCTGCTCCGTCTTTAATTGAAATGGTTACCACTTACTGTATAATGCTGGAAGCAGAGATCCAATTCCATGACTTTCTGACCTTTCCAATTTTGTTTGTGAAAGTCTTATCATTTTAATCTCATAAGTTATCTTTTTAGTGAGTTCAGTGAACCCCTCCCCCCTTTTTTTTTTACAGCGGGAGAAACAGCAGAAAGCACCAACAAATCTTGATATTTGAATTAAAATCTGGCATTTGCCATTTATTAGTTGTAAGAATTTCAGCAATTCACAAACTTCACGAATATCCATATTGGCATCAGGAAGCTGAGAAGAATGAAGCTAAGACAAGATAGGACAGTTTGAACAGCTGACTTAAAAACTAGAAATGTGACCTGAAACATACACGGTAGGGTAACTCCTTTTGGTTTAGGAATCTTCTCATAAGACTTTAAATTTTAATTCTAATTTTTAACAACATTTTACCCTCATAGCGGTAATTAATGTGTATTTCTGAGATGTATGCTTTAACCATAAATCATTTGTTCATTTTGTACTTATGAAATATTTCCGTAAAAATTTTAAGTACAGCCTTCCAAAAGTAAACAAAACAACGAGTATTGTCTTCAAATTTTATTATATTTTTGCTATAAAAAATGAGGTAACATCTCCCTTAGAATGTAAACAAATATGGGACTGTTTTAACCAGCAAAGTGGGGATGGCTTTATATGATTGATGAAACTGCATCATCAGATGGCAGATAGCTTCTAGTTTGTGTATTGGAACAGTTGTTTCTGGGTACCCGAGCCAGCATAGAATAAAGCCAACAACTTTATTAGTACCAGAAACTGCTGTGCTGTGATAAAGCTAGGTTGCATGGTAGATTGGCATGTAATCCACAAATCATATGCCTTTTCCTCAAATCATCCCCATTTAGGTACTAGACATATGCATGAAAAACTTTCATATGATGCCAGCCTCCCACCAGGAAGTTATCCCAACTTTCTTTAATTCTCTTTAATGAGCCTGAAAATATCATAGAACAGAATCAAGCCAATCCCTTTGTGCTCCACATATCTACTCTCCAGAATCTATATCCATACAGAGGTTTTAGTTCACAATCAAATTTTGCATTTGTGTGTGTGTGTGTGCTATAAATGGAATAATTTCAACTTGGAAAAATGTGTACTTTAAAAATCTTTAGTACTTGTCCAGAATTATATTTCTAGGGCATTGTTATGGATTATTATTTTAAAATGTGTTACAATCATTTATGCTGTAGAATATTTGCTAAATGATGCAAACATTGCTACATTCTTTTATATTGCATTTTTTAACTTGGTGAAGCTGTGTTATTTTGTCTGCCTAAAACACCTGATTGGTCTAATAAAGAGCTGAGTGGACAATACCTAGGCAGGAGAGAAATAGTTGGGGCTGCCAGGCAGAGAGGAGTGAAGAAAGAGAGGAGAGGAAGACACCAGGTACCAGCCACCCAGCTATATGGTCAGTCATGGAGTAAAAAGGAAAGAAAGATAAAAGCCCAGAGGCAAAAGATACATGGAATAATTTAAGAAAAGTTGGCTAGAAATAAGCCAAGCTAAGGCTGGACAATTTTAAGTAAGAATAAGTCTTTATGTATTTATTTGGGAGCTGGGTGGTGGCCCCCCAAAGAGCAAAGAGTTAAGAAAAATCTACTACAGGGTATACTTTCTTCAAGGATCCCAGGTTCAAGGTGATCTGAAACTCAGAGAGAACCACCTACTCATGAATATACATGCAAGGAGTAAAGACAGGAGCCACCACATCCAGCTTACTGCTGGGGAACCTCCTTTAGCCAATGGCCTTTGAGATACTGGATCAGGTTGGGATTGGACTTGGGTACCAAAATCCCTCTCGACTACTCAGAGACTATTTATCATTATACCGGACAGTTACCTTGAAACTTAACTATCAATTTAGTTTTACAGGATCCCATTCAAGAACATCACCCACATGACAGCTTGAAGTAATTGAAAAAGATGTCCCCTCTCTCAATAAAGTTTGTCCTCAGGGTTAGGGACATCAATTAGGGGTTGATTAGAACTGTTATAGGGTTGGGGGTTGGGTGAACTTTTTGTAGGCTCAGGGACCTCACTTGAAAAAAAAGGAAATTGAATATTGAATGTGATAATGGGTAGATTAATGTGAGTTTACTCACACTAATAATAATAGTGAGTGCTAGAGTGAATAGCTGTGAGCTATTATTTGTAGACAATTTACATTGGTATTGATTCTTGTATATTGATACAAATTCAAATTATATTTGTTATATACAATATGCTCCTATCTCTGTTTACAATATTTATACACCTATACAAAGTTATTTTGTCATATTGTATGCATGCATGTTTCTACTTCTGTTTAAGACATTTTGCATATTGATATAATTTTAGGATATATTTATCATATTGCACTATACATTTCTACCTCTGATCAATATATTTATATACTCTTTACATTTTGAGGTCATTATCCTCATTTGCTGCACAGTTTTTTAAAGATTTCTTAGTATTCTAATATGAAGCCTTAGTCTTGACTATTATAGGTCAATAGTGATCCATGTTTATCATACTTCTAGTTAGATTACTCAAGTTCTTTAGACATAGAGATTGTATTCTACAGAGATAAGTAATCTCCAGCCATTTTAAAGAACTTTAGAATATGGCATTTAAGTAACTTAGGGTTCTATTGACGTGAGACACAATTACTTCTGACAGCACTGATCTATTCCCTAGAGAATGTTGAGCACCAAAGACACTCCACTTGGAGTTTGTTTTCTTCTTGGCAAAACTTGCCTTTGGGTAAGGAATTGCCCATGCCTCAACCACTGACAAAAGGCATTGTGTCTGGACAGGACAAGCAGGATACAAGAAAAAAGACTGCCAAACCTTTCCAAGACAGGGTAAGACAGTTTTGGAAATTTTCCTGCCTCTAAAAATGGTCTGTCATTTTCTCTAAGCCTTAACCAATGTTGTTTGTTCCAAAGTTGCAAATGAAACTTTGAGTGATTGCCCAGGTAGCCAGTTGTCTCTGTCATTTATTGCATATTTTGGAAGCTGCTTGATTATACTTCCTGCCTACTCAAGTCTTCTCAGGTCTTAGACAGGGTTGAAGACTAGATAGTCATAGTTACTTTCCTCTCATGACTTAGCCAAGGTATTTCTAATACAAGACTATACTCCTTAGGATAAAATAATTATTGAAACAGCGCATGTTTCTTGCTTACTATTGTTATACTGGTTATTAGTTTACATTTTATTCTTGCTATTTTCTTCTTGTATATAGTTTTGTATTGGGTTTGAAACTCATATTTAGACAAAAGAGGGAGGTGCTAGAAAACCTCCTTCAGCCAGTGGCCTTTGAGATGCTGGACAAAGTTGGGCATGGCCATGGGTACCAAAAAGTGTGTTCTTGTGTGCCTGCTAGCTCCCTTGCCTCTCTCGCCTGGCTGCTGGATTTGATTCCTGTTCCCAGTTCATGCAGAGGAATGTGATCTGTTCATTCCCCCATAAATAAAGAACTCTTTATTATACTCAATTCTGAGCTAGTGTGGGACTATATTATTTGTGATCTCCTATAGTTTGGTTTTTGCATTCTTTTTTTTTCCATGTTTACCAAGACATCATCTCTTTTTTATTTTTTTTAAATTTATTTATTTATTTATTAAAGATTTCTGTCTCCTCCCCGCCACCGCCTCCCATTTCCCCCCTTCCCCCAACTAACTCCCCCTCTCTCATCACCCCAATGAGAAGTCAGGGTTCCCTGCCCTGTGGAGAGTCCAAGTACCTCCCACCTCCTTCCAGGTCTAGTAAGGTGAACATCCAAACAGCCTAGGCTCCCACAAAGCCAGTACGTGCAGTAGGATCAAAACCCAGTGCCATTGTTTTTAACTTCTCAGCAGTCCTCATTGTCCGCTATGTTCAGCGAGTCCGGTTTTATCCCATGCTTTTTCAGACCCAGTCCAGCTGGCCTTGCTGAGTTCCCGATAAAACATCCCCATTGTCTCAGTGTGTGGGTGTACCCACCACGGTCCTGAGTTCCTTGCTCAGGCTCTCTCTCCTTCTGCTCCTGATTTGGACCTTGGGGTTTCAGTCCAGTGCTTCAGTGTGGAACTCTGTCTCCGTCTCTTTTCATCACCTGATGAAGG